CCACCAATGGATTGCTCTCCGAACGAGCAATCCATTGGTGGGGTCACGCGTTCGATTCGAGTCCCATTTAGCGACTCTGGAGCTCAAAACGCGTCTGGAGTTTTGTCCGCCTCCGCCGGTCTTCTGGCCCACTGTGCGGCGGGCACGCTTTTTTTTCGAGCTCGCAGTGCGGCAGTGCGGTCTTTGTGCCGCGTGGTGTCGCGTTACAAAGGCGGCGTCACAAACAAGCAAAGAGGTTAAATCGTCTTCACGCTCCCCGGTCGGCCGGTCGGGGGGTTAAGTAATAGTAAGTAGTGCGACCGGCATCGCCCGGCGTCGAGCTCTGTCTCTCTCGCGCCTCGCGTCCCTGCGCCACGCCGCCCGAGTGCGAGAGAGACAGAGCCTGCGCTGCGGTCTCAAAAGCCGTCGAGGGATTACACGGTCTTTGTTCCTTTAACGCGCCGGGACCGCAGAGGCCAGTGCAGCAGACGGCCGGAGTGAGTTACAGTCGTTTAAGTAATCGGTGTGTGTGTGTGTGTGTGTGTGTGTGTGTTGTGTGTGAGTGCGTGTGTGGGGGGGGGGACGCACTCTGCACGTCGGACACAGGCGGTGAGGCACAGGCCGATCTTTGCCGCTCGAAGCCTCCTGGAGGTAGGCATCCCACATTACAATATCCGCCTGTGAGTACAGTGAAAAATTAAGTTTGAGCTCAGTACGCACTTAAGTCCTCCTTAAGCACACACTTCAGTGCCCTATGTGTGTACTCATACTAAAGTTTTTAGTGTAGTCAAAAAGTGCGACACGACCCACCTGCCCCGAAAGCCAGCCCCGGGTACGCGATGGGAGAGCCACCCGGAGAGAGAGACAAATTCAAACGCCCCCACCACCGGCAGTGGCCGGCAGGGCAGCCGACCGCAAAGTGGGTTGGATTAACCAATCCGCGCTGCGCCGCGCCGCGTGGAGTCGACCAGCCCAGCGGTCCAGCGCGGTCCAGTCCGACCAGTGCGGCTGACGCGTCCAGTTGTTTAATAAGGGCAAGTCATTACCGCAGGCCGCGGGGGGCCCCACTGGGCCGCACGGATGATGGCCATTTTGGCGCCATTTTGGCCGGCCGGGGAGGCTCTCCCAGCCCCGTCTCGGTGGGCCAGAAGACCGGTAGAGGCGGCCAAAACTCTAGACGCGTGCAGAGCTCCAGAGTCGCTGAACGGGACTCGAAACAATCTAATACAGCTGCAAAAAAAATTTGACGGCAAAAAGTGGCAATACGAAAGTCTCAAGGAGACCCGCCGATCAGCTTCGGTGTTCTTATGGGAACCGGGCCTTCATCCGACGCTCCCTGCCGCGCAATTCGACAGATTAAGTGGGGTTTGTGCGTATTGGGCTGGGCCACCCGAAGTGCGCGCGGTTTCTGTGGTACCCAGTGAGAGCCCTAGATTCAGAGCCTTACCTCAGAGGTACCACTTTGGGTATTTCGAACCCTCGACCCCGAGTGCCGAGGTCTAGTCAACTCCTCTACCCCTGCCGCTCACCACCGAACCAGTTTGTCAGCGGTGATGCCTGGCACTCCCCTCCTGCGCGGGCCGTTTCGAGAAATCAGGGTCCCGAAAAAATTGGTATTTTGACCGGTCCCGAACCCGGACCTGCCGCTTCCCACACTGCTCTTAACCACTGAGCCACCGGGACGCCATGGCACTCGCCTTGCCTGCGCTGGTACCCAATCTTCTCTGGATATACCTCCTCAAGCAATTGGTCGCCGAAAAAATTGTGTATACTACCGGTCCCGAACCCGGGACCTGCCGCTTCCCACACCGTGCTCTTAACCACTGAGCCACCGGGACGCCATGGCACCCGCTCTGCCTGCGCTGGTACTCAATCTTCTCTGGATATACCTCCCCAAGCAATTGGTCGCCGAAAAAATGGTACTTAGAGCGGTCTCGAACCCGGGACCTGCCGCTTCCCACACCATGCTCTTAACCACTGAGCCACCGGGACGCCACAGCACTCGCCCTGCCTGCGCTGGTACTCAATCTTCTCTGGATATACCTCCCCAAGCAATTGGTCGCCGAAAAAAATTGCACACACTACCGGTCCCGAACCCGGGACCTGCCACTTCCCACACCATGCTCCAAACCTCTGAGCCACCGGGATGCCATGCTAATCTCCGCGTCGGAGCTGGTGTTGAAACTTCTTTTCATATGCCTCTGCAAGCAGTCAGTGCCGAAAATTTTTTACATTTGTCCGGTTTCGAACCGGTGACCTGTCATTCCCAAGGTCGGCACCTTTATCCATCGCGCTACCGAATTGCTCTTGCCCCGGTCGTGCCAGCGCCGAGTCTAACCGCGCCGCCCAAGCGTCAAACCCCTTATAGAGCCACAAAGACGCGGACAGAGAGGAGGCACGTGTCTGCCACAGTGTACCGTCACGCCCTTCACCCGTTCAATAAAATGCTAATCCCCGTTTGTCCGCACTAATCAACGGGCACTGGGGGAGGAGGAGTGGGAGGAGGAGGAGGAGGAGGAGGAGGAGGAGGAGGAGGAGGAGGAGGAGGAGGAAGAGAAGAAGAAGAAGAAGAAGAAGAAGAAGAAGAAGAAGAAGAAGAAGAAGAAGAAGAAGAAGAAGAAGAAAAGAAGAAGAAGAAGACCGGCGCACAACTCAAGAAAACTTTGTAAATTTGGCTTCTGATTTCCCTCCTCGCCGATCTGGGATGGCCCCAGAGCCTGCGCCCCTGGCAGCGTAGGCCACACCTGTCTTCACGCGACACCGGAGCTCCGCGGGTTGCCTACACTGGATCCGCAGGCGGCGGACCGAGACGAGCGGTACGCGTCGGGGTGGGTTTTTCGGCCCCGCCGGAAACGGTTCACGAGGTTTGGCAGTGTACCCGATTCCCCGAGGCGGTCGGAAAGTTAAATCGAGAATTTGGAGCAGCGTTCGGGGCAAATTGGGGCCTCGAGGAGGAAGTAGCGATTCAAAGGACTCGAAGCAATTGGCCACCGTGTTGTGGGCCTCGGCGCCCCCGGAGCCTCAAAGGCCCAGTTGTGTGTGTCTTGGCCTCGGCCCCGGCTGGGCCACGCTCTCGCCACTACCGTCAGAGCAAATAAATTAACTCGGGATCTAAATTGTAAAAGCGAAGACTCGAGTCAATTAAGTCCTAATTTTTTAGATAAGTGTTGTTGGTGCAAAAAGGCGGCGGCCCGGCGGCGTTCGCAATTGGTTTAATGAAAAGCTGAGACTTTCCCCCATTCCCTCCTCTCTCCCTCTCTTCCCGCCCCACGGCCATCCTCCGCCCCTCCCATCTCCCTCCCTCCCAGCCCCTCCCCTTCCAGGACCACTGGAGGCGCACCAATTAGCTCACTGTTCCCAAAAAAGGAGAGCTTTCTCTCTCGCGTGGATGGCCCAAACCGTTCGTGGCCTTTTTTCTTCCAGTGCCGTCTCCCCGATTCGAACTGGGTAATTGCGAATGTGAATACCAATGAGTACCAATCTGGGCAGCGCCGGTATGAAAAATACGCGGTTCGCGTGACACTAATTGTGCGCCGTCTGGCGGTTATCGGGGTAGTTTGACCAAGTACCCGTGTGGCCTGCGCGGCCTTCCAGGGCCCCGCACACAATCCCACCTCGGCTGTGTTTTCTCTGTGTGCTTGGCTCTCTATCCCCTACAATTTATATTCGCTGTAATTAATTTACTTTGAGTCTGGGCCGCATTTTAATTAGCACTCTAACAACGCAGCGCGCCGCTTAGCAGACGCCACTTGGGGAGTTTCAACAGTCAAGCTCAGGCAAGCAACGCCCTCCCTCCCACTTCCTTCCCCCACTCCGTCTCTCTCTCTCTCTCTCTCTCTCTCTCTCTCTCTCTCTCTCTCTCTCTCTCTCTCTCTCTCTCTCTCTCTCTGCCATTCCGCTCGGCCCCCGCCCCCTCCGGTCTATCACAGCCCCTCCCCGACACTTTCTCTTTGATTCTCCAAGTGACGGAACACCAGCATGGACGGAGTTTGGCCCCGACAGTGGAGTGGTGCTGGTGAATGCAGCAATAAGCCGAAACCAAATTCCACCCAATTATTTCCACTCCCTTTTTCAAGTGATTTTCTTTCCAGAAATACATCACAAGTTTGTGAGCGAATTTCGAATTTTCACGTTTCGAATTCGAAGGGTTTGTGTGCGATCGGTGCCTTTCGCCTGTCCGTGGCGAGCTGGCCGAATTTCGGAGGATGATCGAATGGCTTACTCGCGCTGCAATCATGCCGTCACGAGCCTTTGTTTATCTTGGCCGCCGGTTAACACAAATGACGGGCATTACGCCCCGCCCCGCCCCGCCCCGCCGCCAAACATCCACGATAACGCTACCAGGTTATTCGCTTTACGTAATCACCTTAATGGGGGTATTAAAACAATGCAGCCATGCCTTCGATCGATGTCGTTGCTGGGGGTTGATCCGCGGTCGACAGGTTGTTTTAAAAAAAGAACGGTTCTGACGCGGGGACGGGGCCCAAGCGGCGTGGACTCGTGTAAGGTTTGGTCACGAAGTGACTGAGTCACTTGGATTGACTCTTGGTTTTACGTCGATCATGATATGTCATTTCTGATATTTCTTGGGTCTTTTGTCACGGGCTACACAATTGTGAAGCTTTTTCGGTGTGGCGTGGATGAAGCAGGGGAAATTATAGTACGCAGGTGTGAAGCTCACGCCTTTTATTTCAGCACCACCTTCCACTTAGCTTTGGACGTCTAAATACACAGTGCAATCCAATGTCGTAAAGAAGGGGTTTGCCTATACCTGTACACATCACAGAGGATTATTTTGAGATGCCTAAAGAGTGCCGAATGTACATCGAGGGGAACCGTTACAAATTACTTAAAAACAGACATTAAAACGATTTTTTATACAGATCACAGAGGACTAGCCAGGGCCTTGCTTACAATTTTCAATCCCTGACCCATCTGGGGATTATTGCAAAGAAGTTGAGTAACAATTAAAACTAAAGATGCCTTTATATTTTTGACGCAGTGTTTTTTTTTCTTTTAAGGAACACAATTGGATATGAAAGCAGCCTGAAACTGGAAATGTTTGTCTAAAACAGCAAATTTAGACGAACCACACTTGCCAAACTACGGCCAACCTCTCGTATACTTTACGTTATTTAGGCAGAAAAGAGAGAACGTTTTCCTTCTGGTCGTACTAAACAACCCTTCCCTCAAAATGGTAACATAAATAAATACACTAACCTGTACAACACATTTTTATAAATATATATATCCACAGTATAAACAAAGAACCTTGGTTTTTTGTACTTCATCCATTCATACAATGTTTACAAGAAGCTCTCAATCTATTTACACAGACACTTGCAGGCAGTACAGGCTCTCCAAGGGTTGCCAAGAGTTATCCAAAGCATCATCATTCCAAAATGGCACATATTAACTGTGTTGGAGTATCACAAGTACCAGAGGTACAACCTTATTTTATGAGTTTGGCTCATTCTTACCGGTATTTTACGTAGGCAGAAACACTTTCAGCTGTCACATCGTACAAGTCTCAAGACAGAATAGTTTTCGTCTCATTCGGCTGAAACGCTAGCGTAAGTTGTCAACCAGCTGGCTGCCAGAACTCGTGCAATCATTGGCCTCAAGTTTCTCACTGTAAGGACACTATATCAAAAACGACTTTGGAATGTTCGATTCAAACAGCATTGCTCGAAGAGTTGACTAGGGACAAGAACCGCAAACCACTGTTTAGTATGATTGCTGTGCACAATGAAACGTAAACATGATCTACACTGTTCAGAAGTTTCCTTAAAAATAAATTAATATTTAACACAGGCTCGACTTGAAAAACGGCGAAGTTCCCCGGGAAGGTAACTTCCGTGATGGAATACCGTTCGCGAAGCGAGCAGGCGAAAACATGACAATGTCATCTGAAAGTCAAAATACCCGATTTTCGGCCTTGCTTCCTCCGTTGAAGTCAGCCGCGCCAGTTCGAGGCTAAGGAAAGCACAGTGCCGGCCAGGCAGGGCCCGCCACGCCGAAGTCTTTGGCGCCGCAGAGGGGAAGACGGGCACCGGCAGCCAAATCTCTAGACGCGTTTTGAGCTCCAGAGTCGCTAGACAGGGCTCAAACCGAGCATGTGACCCCACCAATGGATTGCTCGTGCGGAGAGCAAGCCATTGGTGCGGTCACACGTTCGGTTCGAGTCCTACTTAGCGACTCTGGAGCTCAAAACGCGTCCGGGGTGTTGACCGCCTCCACCGGTCTTCTGGCAAATCCACCGCGCCGCGCTACGGGCCCTGCCGGGGTGTCGCCGCGGCGTGTCACACCATCTGCAGGCCCTTGGTCAGCGACTCGACGTGCTCCTTGGCCTTGAGCCGGAGCGCGGCTATCGACGACGACCTGGGGTCGCCCTGGGCGCCGGGCGGCAGGGAGGGGGGCGGGGGCCCGGGGGGCGGCGACGAGGCCGAGCTGCCGGGGTCCTGGTGCACCACGGGGGGCGTGAGGTACGACGGGTAGCCGGACTGCGGGTGGCTCAGGAAGCCGGGCAGCGCGTTTAGCAGTGGCGACGACAGCCAGGGGTCCACGGGCAGCGCGAGGGAGGAGCCTCCCACTCGGCCCACGGAGTGGTAGTCGCTCAGGCCCAGCCGCGCCGCCTCCATCTTCTCCTGGCGCCGCCACTTGGCGCGCCGGTTCTGGAACCACACCTGCAACACAGACAACGCCACTCCGTCAGCACACTGCAAAAAAGAGCCTTCGCAGCGCAGTGGGCCGGTAGACCGCCGCATGCGGCCGAAACTCCAGACGCGTTTTGAGCTCCAGGGTCGCTGAGTGGGACTCGAACCGAACGTGTGACCCCACCTCGTTCGGAGAGCAATCCATTGGTGGGGTCACACGTTCGGTTCCAGTCCCCTTCAGCGACTCTGGAGCTCAAAACGCGTCTAGAGTTTCGGCCGCCTCCACCGGTCTTCTGGCCCACTGTGCGCTGTTTACCGGGCACGCGGTGGCCGAGGCCCAAAAGAAAGAGCCCAGTAAAACGGCCGGGTCATTTGCGGGCCGGTAGAGCACTTCGTGCCGCGATGGCGTGACCTCAAAGCGCCTCGTCAGTCAGATGAATGACTCCCAGTGTAGGAGCTCCCTGAGTGCTGGCCGGCCCGTCCCAGCGCGCTCCGTTTCAGACGGACGTCCCGAAGGCCTCGGCGGGCCACGAGCCGGCCAGCCGAGCGACTCAGAAGACCGCTCTGTCTCTCTCGCACCCGGAGAGCCCTATGAGTGCGACAGAGCGACTGGAATCACTCGGCGTAACACAGAAAGTTGTTACACTGGTATCGCAAAGCGCAGGGAAACGATTGATTGCAATAATTAAGGGGTGTGCGAGGGAGACAGTGCTCGTAAAAGTGTGACGACAGGCACCAGTGCAGTGGAGGGCTGTTTATCACGCACGCCACACCGGCCAATCGAAGCGGCCTGGCCAACATCGTCGCCCAATAGATGGACTGGCGCCGTTAGATTGCCCGCACCGATTGGAGCCTCCGCACGCACAGTGGGCCGGAAGACCGGCGCAGGCGGCCAAAAACCTACACGCGTTCGCTAAATGGGACTCGAACCGAGCTTGTGACCCCACCAATGGATTCCTCGTTCGGAGAGCAATCCGCATTGGTGGGGTCACACGTTCGGTTCGAGTCCTAGCGACTCTGGACCTCAAAACGAGTCTGGAGTTTCGGCCGCCTCCACCGGTCTTCTGGCCCACTGTGCTGCGCCAACATAGAATTCAACACTCTCCACGCGACTGTTGAACTTCTCCGGCGAGCGGTGTCACCCGCCGCCCCCACCCCACCCCCACCCCCTCACCGGCCCACTCCTCTCGCAGCCCGGAGCAGCCTTCCCCTCCAATTTTATCTAATCTTCTCCGCGTATATAAACGATGCCCCGAAGCCACGATTCCCCCTCTTTCCTTTAAGCGAAGAATGAAAAAGCGTTTAGGACAAACAGGGAGAGGAGGCACGGAATATGAAATCCCTGCCGGGGTCGTCCCCGCGCCGTCCCCGCCCGAGCCGCGCAGTTCGCGGCGACACTCGGACCTAATTCGAGGAGTCCGCGAGAGACCGACTTCCAAGTTCGAGGACGAGAATGAGCCATTTGGCGTGAAGAACAGTGTTGCCACACTAGAGTTCCCACAAGGCACCAGTGTCGAAAGGGCGAAGCTTAGTGGGCGAGAAGACCGGTGGAGGCGGCCAAAACTCTGGACGCGTTTTGAGCTCCGGAGTCGCTAAATCGGACTCGAAGGAAAAGTGTGACCCCACCAATGGATAGCTCTCCGAACGAGGAAACCATTGGTAGAGTCACAAGCTCGGTTCAAGGCCTATTTAGCGACCCTGGAGCTCAAAAAGCGTCTAGATTTTTGGCCGCCTGCGCCGGCCATCGGGCCCGCTCTCTCTCTCTCTCTCCCTCCCCTCACACACGCGGAATGGCGAAGCAGAGCCGGTGGTCGAAATTGACTGGTGTTGGTGGGTGGCTTGCTCTGCGCCGCGCTGCCTCGCTGGCGTTGAGTGCTTCGCAGTGCCTCGCAGTGCGTCGCAGTGATTGGTTGAGGCTGGGGGTGATCCGATCCGGCCTGGCCCCTTATTGGTTCTCTAAAGCAGCGGCGGCGGGGCTGCTAACATCTCATTAGGGCCGAGAGAGCCGAGCGGGGCCGAGCCGAGTGAGGGGTGGTGGTGAGGGTGGCAACACAAACTCTTTAATGAGATCCTTGAGGCTGGGGGCGGGGCGGTGGGGGCGTTGGGGGGCGGCGGGGGCGGCGGGGCCGTGCTAAAGGACGCTAAAGGCCCGTCCTGGGCCTTCCTTTTAATTGGATCCTTCATAAGTTTGCAGGCAACGCATTTAAATAATCCGACCGCGTTTACAAGGCGGTGGTGTTTGTACAGTCGCGCGACACATCGAAATGAACGGGAGGCGTGCTTTGTTTCGCGGGGCCCGCTGTGGGATTCGGAGCCACACGTGAAGGCGGTGCGGTGCAGTCGAACAGCCTGAACGGCTTTGCGTTTTTCCGGTTTACTCCTTTTTCCTTCCCGCAAGGCGCTGGCTCCGAGAAATAACGAAGTGGGCTCGGCGCCGCACGCGAAATGAAACGACACATTTCCTGCAGCGGTGTGTGGGGGGGGGGGGGAAAGTGAGCCTCGCTTTTCCGTCTGCTAGAAACAAACCGAACAAGGTCTAATCGGGCTGTCGTCGGCTGCGGCCCGGCCAAGCCAGGCCAAGCAGGCCGAGCAGGCACGGCCCGCGGAATCAAATAAAGTGAAGGAAAAGGAACAACGATTGGCGGGGATTGGCAGGCGCCCAGAGCGCGCCAAAATAAAAACACTTTGATGCGATCTCTTTCATCTTGAAGCTTTCCCCGCAGTTCCTGTGCCAAATGGATTTCGCTACACAAAGTTTCCCTTCATTTCCCGTCCCGCATCCATCGTACACCGAGCTGTCTGCCTCCACACACGGCAAACTCACTCACGGAACACGGCAGTGGGTTGGCAAGACCGCCGCTCACGCCAGTGATGCCAAAAGTGGGAAACATTTCAGTTGATATGCACTCGTGTTTCAAGTGTTGACCACCTTGGCCTTCCCACCAGACAATGTCTGGGGCTTCGCGAACCCAGGTGCAGACTGAAAAGACAATTCGCAAACCTAGGTACAAAATGAAAACAAAAACACATCGCATCGACGACTATCTTATTAAGCTCATTTTCGTTCAGAAGCATGCCGACACTGTAAAGTGAAATATCTCCCCCCCCCTCGATTTTTGGCAGACGCCGCAGGCCATGTCACCGCCACGCCTCCGACACGACGAGATGGAACGCGAGATATGTGGATAATGCACTGTCAGGCGGAGACTTAATAGCATTAAAACCCGCTATTAGCGGAGCACAAAGCGTCTTGCAGACCCCCCCCCCTCTCTCTCTCTCTCTCTCTCTCTCTCTCTCTCTCTCTCTCTCTCTCCTACACGTACAAGGGCAAATCAAAGATGCCTCGGCAAAATTGGTGACAAGGGAAAAAAAGAAAGGAAATAGGCCTTCGTGTTCGGTGGGTGTGATACATCGGCCCACAATAGACTAATGTTAGCTTTCGGTGTCACTTCAATGACGCATACCTCTCTGGGATTTGGCACGGGAAAAAAAGGTGGAGAGGTTGAGGAGTGTCGATTACGTTGACAGAGAAAACTTTTACCCCTTTCGAAGAGGTGTCGTTATGGAATTAGATCCCAGAGAGAGAGAGAGAGAGAGAGAGAGAGAGAGAGAGAGAGAGAGAGAAAGAGAGAGGGAGAGAGAGAGCAAATGCCTCCTACGTCGGGTCGCGTCACCAGCGCACCGTGGACGCCCCTTGACAGGCGCGTATTGTGAAAACACGCGTACAATGGCAGAGCAAGGAGGGAGCGACTCCGTGTGTGTGTGTGTGTGTGTGTGTGTGTGTGTGTGTGTGTGTGTTTTTTTCCGTGTGTCTCCAACCGGAAAAAGGATGTCCTTGGGAATAAAGTAGATCACTCGCACACACACACTCACGCACACAGACTCGCCGTTCGAGTATATCATGGAGTGCGCAAAGGTGAGCGCGAATGGGTAAAGTGTTGTGTGCAAAGGCACAGGACGACATGACGAGGGTGTCGAGGGCGTCGAGGAGGCAACGCAAAGGAGCCGGCCGAAGTCCCGAAGGGTGCGGAGAGTGCTTCAAGGAAAAGCAGAGCCTCGAAGATTCGCACGGAAAGACAAACGGTAAACTGGCGAGAGAGTCGCCGGTACTTGTAGCCGAACCCTGGTCCGAAATTTCTAGAGTTGGATACATTCTTTGGAGAGTTCGCGAAGTTGCCAGAGCCAGTTCCTGGACATTCGCTCGGCCCTGCTGGGGCCTGGAGACTCCAGTGGAGAGTACCCGCGGAGTGCTGGGGAATTCTCGCCAGCGCTCCAGTGCTGACAGCCTATGGAGGCTGGGGGCTGGGGGCTGGGGGCTGGAGGCGGGGGCGGGAGGTTGGTCCAAGGACCGCCCAGCCCGTTCCGGACTCTGCGGTCCCAATCAATAGAGGCCCACCCCCAGCTACCCCCAGCGGCTAGGGCCTGGCTGGGCTGGGGCACCGCACCCCACCGCGCCCCCAAACCCCCGCAGCACGCAGACGCGGCCCAGACGCAACGCCCGTGCCTCGCTCGCGTCAGTATTTTCACTTTTGCATCCGGAAGAATCAACCAAGTGAGGTTAGTCCGCCTGTCTATCTGTCTGAACGTCAAAAAAATGAATAAGCAAATTTCAATTACGATATCAATTTCGATCTGAAATTCAACTTCGATTCAATTTCAATTTCGTTTAATTGTCAGACTTTCTGATGGTCGGTCTATCTGTCGATCTGCCTGTCTGTCTGTCCGTCCGCGCGCGCTGGGGCTGGGTCGAACCAGGGTCCGCCCCTGCCTCACCGCAAGTTCGCCATCTTTCATTGCGATCACGTCGACGGGCCGATGGGCAGACGGACAGACAGACAGACAGACAGACAGACAGACAGACAGACAGACAGACAGACAGACAGACAGACAGACAGACAGACAGACAGACAGACAGACAGACAGACAGACAGACAGACAGACAGACAGACAGACAGACAGACAGATAAAAGGCAGTTTGGGGCGTAATGCCCCGGCCGGCACGAGTTTGGAGAGGGGGTGGGGCCGGTGGG